GGCATTGGCTGCAGCAGTTTGTACAGTCTTGTTGGACATCACTCCAGTTGCAAACTCCTGCTGCGCTTTCTCAAAGCTGGCACCAGTCGTGCGGTAGAGACCGTGCACCTAGGGAGGTGGAAAATAGTGAAAAAACGGTGTTGAGCCTTCTCTTTCTTGGTAGATAACAGCAAAGTCTCAAACACAAAGCAGAGCTGTGTGGTGGGGAAATCTGGTTTGCTCAAGTCTTTGGGAGGATCCAGAAATGAGTAAACAGACTTTTTTCCCCACAAATCCTACAACTTTGATTGCCCTGCTGACACACAGTTTGACTGTAGGAATACCTGTAACTTTCTGCAAGTTCAGAGTGGTTTCATAGGTCTTTACTAAAATGTGTGTGCTATCTACTCTCTGAAATAGCATATTTAAATACACAAACAGGTTGTATCCTTAGCATAACACAGGGCTCATAGCTCACAAAAATAGTCTTGTGTCTCCATTTGCATACAACTTGTTGTACTCATAAAAATTGGTAAGTCTGCATGTTAAAAAACACAGCAGGAAACAAAACCAAAAAAGTAGTTTCGAATCCACTGTATCAATAACACTTCGGTGAATTTTTTTTTTACATCAATTTTTAGAAACATTTTAATTTCATACAGCTATGAGTAAGTATTAAAAAGTATAAAATATCCTACTATTGCAGATATGTATCTGCTAAACTAGTGTGATGACCAATAGCTCTGCTTAATAAGCAGAAGTATTAAACAATATGAGTTAGAAACACTTTAAACAATATGGCATATAATCTCTAGTACAGCAAAAAACCAAATCCTAAGTAACTTCCAATTAGCCAGGTATTAAAATTAAAACGCTATTTCTGACTCATATTCATTCAAGTGACAATAAAGTTATCAAATATTGCAAAGACATTCTCATTCAAGTGTAGCAGGAAAATTAAGGTTGTAACTTTGTTATAAATGTGACTGTTTCTATCCATAAAGATACACCAGGTCACATCTGAGTACGCAGGTTTTTGAAAAGAATCCAGATGCATACAGTAGGAAGAGTTTAAAAAAAAAAACCTTCACCATACATTTTTCTTGCTTGTTTCCTTCTCCGGTACCTGAGTATTTATGCAGAAAACTAACAAGGAAAAGAGACATCTCCAGGCAATGCTTAAAATTTCCAGCTTACTGTAAATAGACTAGAAGAGTTTGGGTATGTGAAAATCTTTAAGCGTAACTGTCACTGAGGTTGACTTATTGGAATTGTGAGCACATCATCATCAGAATTCTCAGTTACATTTTACCTAAACACCACTAAAAACTTACTAGCACATTAGTATCTAAACTTAGGTCTTCTGGATGGAAATTCACAAGAAGGAACCAAGGGAAAAAAGCATGTTTCTTTGCGCTTTTATGCTATGCAATCATTAATTGGCAACAAAATGTTAAAATAAGAAAAGGAAAGAAGTAAAAATCCTTTTCTGAGGTGCCAAGCATCTCCCTCTTCTGTTGATTTTAACGGGAATGATTTTAGTAAGATGTGAATCTTAGCAATCATTTGAATCACACTTCACTCAGCCTGATGAATCACCACAGATGTGAAAATTACAACCTGGCATCTACAGGTACAATCATAGTTTCCAGTGCATTCACCTACACTTTCATTGTGGGCTTACGTCCCAATTTCTCTTTTTCAGAGCTGTCCTTCCCCAATTTAGTTGGCAGAAAATATGTGCATTGTACAAACAGCATTTCATAACTCCACAACAGTATGAGCAAACAAGTACAGTTGTTAATAGGTAAGGCACCCCTCAAGAATGTAATTTAATCCCCACTAATTTGTGAGAGAGTACCTCTCATGCAGGAAAGCAAAGTCCAGATCAAACATAGGAAACAGAAGAGGGGAATAATATGTAACTTACCTTTTTAAACATAACTAATGAGATAACAGCAGATGCTGTGAAAAGTGCAGCTATGATGATCATCATAATGCCAACAGGAATACTCTTATTAAGACCAGTAAGAGATGAAATCCATCCACTGAAGAAAAAAGAAAGGACAGACTTCACTAGCACAGCACATGAACAATTTAACCTCAGGTATCTACATCAAGGGAAGCTTTATAACCTCCTAGTTCTGATAAACTTTGAGTATTTTCGAAGAAAAAGTCATGGGAATTTTACATAAGCGTATTTCAGTTCTATAATAAGCTTTTAGAGCTTAGTTTCCATTTTTTCCAATGCATGCAGTGAAACTATATGAAAAACTATAGTAAAGATCATTATTCTTGTGATATTTCTTGTGAAGAAATTAGAGAGCTGCTCATCAACATTTGGGGTTTTTTTTGCCATTTCATGTTTCACCCACTCTTACTAGTTAAGAGCACTCCAAAACTGCTTTTTTTAAGTGCTAAATATAACAATTCCAGTGAACACAAGATTTTTTTAAAAAAAACCACACTATTGCAGTTGTTGTATCAAGTATGAGCGTTTGTCTTATAGACAGTACAATGCTCCAGAAAATGGAATACTCACCAGTTTCCCCATCTTTGAAATCCTGCAGCTTGAAGTACATGTACAGCAAACTGACAGATATATACAAAGAAGAACACAAAGAACCTGAATGAACTGTCATTCCTGAAAGAGGGGGGGAAAAAAAGATTAAAGCAGCCAGGAAATTAATGATTTTTTGCAAACGTTGCACCAATCTAAAAATTTTTTCTGCATCAACTAGAGGAAAAGTGCTTTCATTTATTGACAGTGACTTGAAATATCAGTAATTCTATGGTATTGTAGGGTGTTTATGTACAAGAACTGCTCCTCCTTCTTTAATAGAGTACTTTTGCCACCTGCACCTCTAACAGAGGTGCGATTAGCAGCAAGACACTATTCCTTAGTGTTCCGTTCAGCACACAGCAGGGCCTCTTAGACTAAACACAGAAGTTTTGCTACAATGCAAGAAGAACAGAAGTCTGATCCACTTTCAGACTGAAGTTCACAGTGCTAATGGGATGGGAAGAAAGTATTTTACTTGTGAACGGATATAAAATCTAATATGGAAATACTAAAACATAGTGCAGACCAGAATACTGAAGCAGCTGTTGCTTAAAAGCAAAATATACAAAATAGGTTTGCTGTTTAAATTACTAAAATGCCAGTCTGACAAAGACTGAAAGTAAAAAAAGTACAGGCAGAATCTCAGCTTATTACTATCAAAAGTAATTATGACATGATATGCTTGCTACCAGCGTCCTAAAGAAAGTAGAAATCACTTAGTTAAGTCACAGAATCAAATTTTGCCTTTAACCGGTCTTCCTACAGAAGGAATTTTGTTAATTTCTATTATACAACCAGTGCAGTTCAATAACTATTCCATTTTCAGCTGACCAACTGACTGAAAGTTGAATATGCAAATAGTAGTTTTCCTTTTCCAAATAATCAATATGCACTAAGAAAAGATAAGGATTTACTAGAGAGCAAATGCAAGTTCAACTATATGATTCCACAGAGATATGTGGGTACAGCAATACCTCCTCGGTTAGCAAAAAGAAACATCTCACTTAGTCTAAAGGTTACGCTTAACTGCAATTTCTGGCCATCAATCTTTCTCCACAAGAATTAGCGCATTTTAATAGTGAAGATCCTGAAATCACTTCAATGTAAAAAAAGAATTCCCAAGAAATCCTGTAAGAGTACAGGATTTAGAATCTCTACATGCTGATTTTCACACACACACAAAAAGTTAAATTTTGCATGCAAACCAACCATTCTATTCTCAAACACAAAGCTACCACATCTCACACTTGTGAAGTCTGCAAAGATTGCTAAAAGCTAGGAAAACTACTAGAGTTTGATTACTATATACCTGCTCTATTAATTCTTAAGAATCTCAGTCTACTTCAATGACAGACACTGTACGTCACTTAACAATGGAAGATTTTTAACTATAGATTTTATGAAGCTCATTCAGGATGCCAAAAATTTAAGACACACTTAATATTAACCTACTCAAATTCTTGGTGTGAAGGGATAGAGATTTAATGAGATTTTTCCTTAAAATTGTTACCAGTCCATTACAAAGTTAATATTTCCTACAAATATTTTGTCAATGGTAGAAGCTATCAATACTTTAAAGGATATTCCATGATATTCCTAAATATTGCCATCTATGTTTCAAATACAACAACTGAATTAATGGCAAACATACTACTTGTTTCTAATGAAAGCATATCAAAGGATTGTCATAATGATAATCAACCAAATGCTGGAATGTTAATACATTTTGACAAGTTTTTAAATATCCTAAGTCAAGCTGAAGTTGTTACCTGAAAGCTCCATAAAGTGGTCTGTACCAGCAGACAAAAGAACAAGGGGTAAAAAGCAAGAACCAGAGAATACTCAATCCAAAATCAACCCCTCGTGTAGCATCAACGTAAAACCAGGCCAAACATCCAAAGATATTAAGAAATAGTGTCACTGTATGGACTGTAGAAGCAAAAGCAAAATATTCTTAATTAAGTTATGTTTATACAATAAATTATTACAACTGTTAAAGTAATACCGAAACTGAGCATTTTTAAACAAAACATCAGCATGCTGACAATAAATCAATACCCTCTCAATATCCTCAGCAATAAGCTGATTTTTGTACAGTTATCTAATTTTCAGGTAAATCCTGTATTCACAAGTAAAAGTACTGAACATGAAAATTCAAGTACTACCAGGTATATGGTGAAGTAAAAAATCCTGTCATAAACCCAAAACATTTTCAAACTGAAAATGATGAAAAAAGAGGTTTCTACAGCTGCAATAATTGATACTTTTTCTACAACAATAACTGCATACAGATATTTACAGACTACTGAATATTTTTTGACAGAAAGCTTATAAATGATATAAAATGCATCATAAAAAAATTGCAATGAAAAGCTCTTTTTCTTCCATGTAGTGAAGCAAATAAACCCCACTTAGTAAAAACGTTTCTCAGTAAAAAAAGATCTGCAAGAAGTTGTTGCAGATGCTTCAATACTTATTGCATATTCAAATATTTACTATCTTGTGTAATTTGCTGTAGGTGAATCTGCTTTGTCAGGGGTGTTGGATTAGATGATCTCCAGAGGTCCCTTCCAACCCTGAACATTCTGTGATTCGTAAATCCAAATTCCTGTCTTCTTTTGATAAATATAAGCAAGTTTACTAAGGGGTATTTGTTCTTTTTTCTAGTCAATACTGGAAAACAGGGAGACTCCCTAGATTACTAGAAGCATCCACATTCTGGTGAAGTTTGAACTTTCTGAAACTACTACTTTTTTTATAACTGCAATTATGATAACGGGACAAGTTTTAGAAGAATACCATCAGTGGAAAAGAGGGTTGAAATGTCACACCCACTACTGATACTTATCAGCACAATAAAACCAGCAACATAGGGGTCTACCTCACTACCATCACGGAGAATCTCAGCTGTAAAAACAGTATTAGCAAGCTACAGTACTTCACTGACAGTTCTCCCTTCGCTCCACTCATGCTTCTCTCTGCCTGCTGCAAGGTGAAGAAAGGTATTTGTCCTTTAAGCCAACACCTTCACTAAGTGAGCTAGGTAAGCTTTGCTGTTGTATGAACAGACAGGTGTTTTTATGCTCAGGGTAATGGTTTTAAGGACCTTCTACCTACTAGCTCTTCAAATTAAACCATGATACAAGTTATTAGACAATAATGACCACCTGGGGGGCTGAAATAACCTAAGCATTTGGCAGAAGTCTGCAACATGCAATGTATACATGACAGTAACTTCGCAGTTATACCAACAGAGTACTCAGTGTGAAGTGACCAAAGAAACCATTCTCCTAGTTTAGCTGTGAAAGCAGTTGAGGGGGCGTTCATGCCAGAATAAGAGTGAATGATGGGAAATTACATTAGTTTAAAAAATATTCAGACTCAACTTCTTTTTTATTAGTGTAAACTTCCATGTACAGAAGAATCCTACTTAGATATACATTCCCTGTCTTAATTAACTATGCTTTATCATCCATTAATGTTTGAAAGCGAGTTTTAGATAAAGACAAGTTGCACTGATGCTATTTGGCATCTACATTATTGAGATTATTATTTTGCAGTCTGATTTGGAACTGTATGAAAATAGATTTTTATAGTAAGTTTCATTTCAGTAATGTTTTATTGATGATATTCTTCGGAAACCAAAGTCCTCACTAGCACACATGACAAAAGAACGTGCTTCTTCCCAGCAATCAGCTGGACTGTCACCTTGTAATGGACTGCCTCAAGGGGAATGGGGTGTCTACAAAATGGAGGGTTTTAAAGTCACAAGGCCACTGACAAGTGAGGACAAAGCTAGTGAAGTCTGATCACACACAACCTTGGAGCACAGAGTGGCTCCAAATGTAGTTTAGGCTTTTGTTCCTTGTGTGTTCTGCTCTTCTTGGAGAGGGGGCAGGTAAGCAAGGATGCCTTAAAAAGGCTCAGTGCTAAAAGCCAGGAAAAGTGTCATTCTGTCTGTGTGCCACTAAAACAGTAATGGTCACAAAACCAAGATAGAATAGAAATGCTCCACTGGCAGCTGACAGAAGCCATTGCTAATTGATTGCTGTAGTCCACGAAAACAAGGGAGCACTCGGGCAGTAGAGGGGGAGAAGAGAAAAAAAAAAAAGGCTCTCCTCAGGGAAAAAGGCAAAAGAATATGCGCAAAGATAAAACCACATCAAGGGATCAGAAAACTCTGACTTCTGATACAAACAGAGAAAAAAGATGGATGAATTCACAGAATAGGGACACAAACAGACTTGTTTTCTCAAGAGATAAAGAGCATATAGATCTGATAAAGACCAAGAATTAAGGATATAAAAATTGCTACTAACCATGGAAAGACACAGAAAACTGAAACAGAAAGGTTTTTTCCTACAGCTGCTAAAAAGGAAGAGGAAAACTAACCTAGTTTACAATGTGGTGAGCTCACAGTACTAGATTTAGCCAAATGTGACTATGTTCACAGAACCCCTAGGCCTTACAAGACCTAGGAAGTTCTGAAGAGGAAATAAAATGCAGGGTAGAGCAGCATGCAGAAGTAGGCTGATTTGCTATGGTAGTAAGTGTCTCCACTGAGGAAGCATAGCCACTCTAATGAAAAATGTGCCAAACCATGTAGATATGATGCTGGGAAAGAAGAATCACAAAGATTGTTTCAACAGCCAGCCTTAAAATACAGAATTATGTACTCAATCTTTTTTTTTTTTTTAGCCTGAAATAGATTTTGTCTTTCTTTTCCTTTACTATGCCCTTTCCTTCCTTCCTGAGTAATCCCTAAGTCACAGACTACTAGAGCTAAAGAAGGAAAATAGCAAAAGGACTCAGTTAAAATCTCAGTCTACCTAGAAGAAAATCTGTCATGTTATTATAAAAGCACAACTCCTACATATTTTGAAATAGTGTAACGTTGCTGCTTCCTTTATTTATTGCCATAAGAAGGAAAAAGAAAAACAGTATTAATATTCTAGTTCTCACTACCCAACTTCACCTTGTCTTGGAAACATATGGCACTTTCAGGAACTCAGTCCTGCAAATGGCCAGAATTAATAACTATCCTAAAATTTTGCAGTACCTGATCTTAGATTTTATATAAATCTGAAATGTCTGTCAGATTTATGAGAGTGACTAGTCACACATTCTACACTGGATTTAGTTGCTTATTTGAAGATTAATGACCCAACAATGAATATAGAAAGCTGTGGATTACGATAAAGTGGAATTCACTTGATTCAATGCTGACTGCTCATTTCATGTGTTTCAATTACGTAGTTCAATCACAGTAATAAGATTACCAGATTAACAGGTAAAACTAAATCTGGTAACTAAATCTGAAGCCCTGAAAAAAATACAGAAAAATTCTGAAATTCACATTTCCTTAATATGCTAAAAAAATATTAAAGGCATCAAAGCATCTAAATCTTTGGAACTTCCTCAGTCTCAGAGTAATTATTAGGCCCTCCTCACACTGGACAAAGCAAAAGAAACAACGTTGTGGCATTTGTGCACTTGGTTCACCCAGTCATTTCTCCAGTCAAAACACAGCACCTTAATGAGGGCAAAATTAACCCTACAAAGATGGTGTAGAGCATTCTTGGCGTACAAAGGATAGTTTTAACATGGACTTCAGCTAATTTACTTCATATTATTTTTTTAAATAGACTAAAATTATATGAAGTCTCTACTATAGACTAAAAACTACATTAAACAATGTATATTAAAGCAAATGGATATTATACTTCTTAAACTCACAAGTCTATTAACACTGATTGTGAATTATATTTCTTAACATATAAGCTGATTTTAAAAACAGTAAAATTATTTCTAAGTTAATAAATGGTCAAAGCTCATTTTACAACACAGAGACAATTAAACCAGAAAACTGCAATATACTAGAACCAAGCTGCCTTAGGATAATCATCCTCCTTTTTTTCCATGGAAGTTTCTATGAAATAATTCAATACTTTTAAAATTGAAGCTAACAAGAAGATTTCACTTCAATATTTGACTTCTGATTTAAAACAATTTCTCATTACAGATGTTACAAAAGCCAAAGTAGCAGGTATGTATCATCAAGTTTGAATAGGCACTTTGTTTTTTCTTTTAAAAAAAACCCAAAACTTACACATCCACAAATAGTACATAATCTTTACTGTCTTCTGGAATTCTACAGGAATGTCTACAGAAAAGTCCTGGTAGAAACAAGGACCTACTGGAAAATTCTCAGGAAGAGGTGGCCAGTTATTTTTTCTACCTGCAAAACAGAAAAAAAACCCAGAGCTTCATAATACAGTTTTAATCTCTGTATACTAGAAAGAGATACGCATTTGGACTTGTTCAAATTGTTTTATGCATGAGTTTCACAAGCGCATGGACAACTTGGGCTACCAAAACCCAAGAGTTTTATCAGCAATCCTCTCACAATACTGAAAATAAACTTCAGCAATAAAATACAATGAAGTGCAGATAGATCAAGAAAAGTACAATATTTTATCTACGTAAAAGATTAAGCGGGCATCTGACAGTTCCTATAAAGTAATGAGAAAAGAGAATTCTTCACAAAACAAGCATATATGGGCAGAAAGACAATTTCTCAGAGTTCCTTGGCTTTTAAATGCACATTTCCCTGAAGTCCCACCACACTCACATACTTTGTTGAACACAAAAACTAGGGACTGAAAAACATTCTTCTTTCTCAGAATGCTGATATTTTTACCACCAGGCTACCTCTTAACACTTTGAATTAGCTCCCAATATAGTTTACAGTCAAAGCTTTACCTAAAAGCCCATAAGCCTCAAGAAAGGCAGCTATTGAAACGATCTGAACTACTTTGTTGTTACAAGAAGATGCCCTACAGCATGATCGTATTTTGATACAGTTGTCTGACGGAGTGAGGACACCACAAAGGACACAGTATCAGACACTTGGATTTCCTGTATTCTGATCTGCTCACAGACTAGAGTATACACTGCTGAACACAAGTCATACCAAGCACAGACTCAGAGATTCAACTGAGACAGTAACTGCAACAAACCTTTACCATAGCATTTCAAATTCTGGACGCAAGAGATACATTAATCACCATGTTCCAAAAGTGGAGCTGGACTAGAGACTAACCTAAAGGCACCTTTGTTTGAAATTCTGACAAGGTTTTGGTTTTGCTTGCAATTTCTATTTTCAACCATATCTTTACAAGCAGTTCATCTGATAAGAACAGAAAATTGCAAAGCTTACATACTTGAATTTTTCTTATTTGTTGCCCCACTCAGACAAGATGAAGCTGTCAGTTCCAAACAGGTCCAAAGCACTGAGCATCTGTTAAGTTTTCTGCCTCTTCTACTAAAATTTTCACCAAGCCTTTCAGAGCAGGGGATTGGCAGAGGAAGCATACAGAAGGTAATAAAGTAATATTCTCACCCATATCAAAAACTACTTCAGAATTTCTTATGTGAAAAATATCTGATAATGATTCAGATCTTCATTCTGCAGTACATGGTAATTTCTCTCAGGACTGATAGTTTTAAGATGGAGTTATGGAAAAACTCATGTATCTGATAATAATTCCAGTTATTATTTAAGAACTGTATTTCATGTGCTCTCCCACTGCTGTGGTATAGGTTTTAAAATTTTCAACTAAGACTGAAAGACAGCCTGGTGAAACAGTTTGAGATCAAAAACCGAATGGTCTTTTTCTAAATACTCTTTGCATACTGATATTCCAATATTGTATCTTGATAAGCAAAGAGCTAGCTCAGAGTTATTTCATTCCACGCAAGTTACCATCTCAAGGCCTATTAACATAATTTCAATGGCATGCCTACACTATGAATGCAGACACCCCTCAAACTAGCTTTATGCCAGCACAGAAAGGGATTTTTCAGGCATGTCCAAATGAACTAGCTGAAATAGGAAGCAGCACACTTCAATTAGCTCAAATGCAATGCTGCACAGGATCTAAGCAGAGAAGACCAAAGGTACCAAGCTGAGCTGACCTACCAGCTTGAATATCTCTGCACTGTAGTCAATTGTATATGACAATGGTGTCCTACATGTGCAGCCAGCATCTCAAATTGAATGCAAATAGCTAAGAGTATTGCAAAAGACCCTGACCTCTAATCGAGACAACTCTACAGTGTTTTCAAATGAGTTCAAATGACTGCGTGAAAGAAAAAAATCAAACAAAAAGAAAAGAATATTTTTCTCCTTAGTCACAATATACAATTCCTGATTTGCAGCATCTCTCACACAGTCAATTGGTAAAAAACTACTATCTTCTTTAAAGCTTTAAGAGCTCTCTCTTCTCTGTTCAGCCTTCATAAAGAATCATTTAGATTCTTCATGGATTCTTTAAGCACTTTGATATGAACAACTGCAACCTAATAATAAATGCCCACTTTTGAAATATCCTGAAACATGCATGGGGTATCAGAGTTATGTTCCCTGAGATACAGATGAACAAAACTGTACCTAAAGCCTGGACAAGAAAAGTAATTAATCCAGACCATTAATATACGTTAGTGAAATTAGATGAAGGGCAATACATGGAGATGGAAATGAAAACAAAACAAAAACTAAGAAAGTAATTATCTAGGAGATTTAAGACAGACTGAAAAGAACAAATACTGAGAAAACAAAAATGGTTTAATGAAGGGACAATATCACCACGATTCTTCTCCTTAGAGGAAGAATTGCAGTTCCCCATTCCCAGATCCCAGCAAATAAATGGCATATGACTGCTCTCTACAGCTTCCTGAGGAGTGGGAGTGGGGAGGGAGGTGCTGATCTCTTCTCCCTGGGATCCGGTAACAGGACATATGGGAATGGTTCAGAGCTGCCCCAGGGAAGGTTTAGACTGGACATTGGGAAGCACTAGGAAGTCAAACACTGGAACAGGCTTCCTAGAGAGTTGGTCAATGCCCCACACCTGTCAGTGTTTAAGAGGCATTTGGACAATGTCCTTAATAGCATGTTTTAACTTTTGGTCAGCTCTGAATTGGTCAGCCAGTTGGACTAGGTGATTGTTGTAGGTCCCTTCCAAGCGAAAATATTCTATAAAATATTCTAAGAATTTTAATTACTAAGCAATTATGCAATCTGGAATTGTACCACTGCATATTAAAAAAAAACAACCCAGCACATGTGGACATAAAACAATCTGAATTCTAGATACAAGTGAAAAGACCACACAAAGTCAACCTTGCCCACCGGGTGTTTTGTGTTTTGTTTTCGTTTTTTTTCTGAACTTCAGTCTGAAGTTCTTCCTTTTGAAAAGGAATATTCCCAAAGATCTACTTCTAGCAAACTATCTTCAGTTAAGAGGACATGAATCTTCTCATCTGTGAAACTGCTGTACAAAAACTCATGGTTTGCACAGTACACTTAGAGTTTTTGGCAAAATGAGATACTGATCTTGACTATGGGTTCCAGAGTGTCATATGAAAAATTAATAAAATATTAATAATAGAACAGATCTTTCTGCTATTTGTATAGAGTATTATGTCTGTAACATACCAAAAGATAAGAAATTGTTTCAAAACAGGAAAATTCTCCTACAGCTATAAATACTGACAGAAGAGAAATCAAAGAGATGTTACTTATAAAGTTACTGTTACTTCTCAAAATGCTCCATTTCTATTCAATAGTATTACTCAGATACTAACCTAGAATAAAAACATCTGGCAGGAGACAGCAGCATGTAACAGAGGCCAGATTTAAAATTTTTACAGTGAAAATCTGCACAGGACAGGCCCGTTTTTATTCACTGTATGCAATGTCTCAAGGGAGATAAAATTCCTTTTCCTGAAGAGTTTATAAAATGCCCTCTTTGATCTGTTTCACAATGACACTATAAAACTAAAACAGTTTCTAAGAAAATGTGAAATTTCTGCAATTAAAGAAATATTTTTCCATGCATACCCCCCTGCTGATTGAGACTCTGCATTTCCCTTTCTCTGCGATCTAGTTCAGCTGCTTTTCTTTCCAGTTCTTCTTGACGCTTTAGCAGTTCTGCCTGGGCCAAGGCATGCTCCTGAACAAAACAAGCATGTTAGATAATGATCAAAAATATGAACACAAAATAAATATTCCAAGTCTGTTTTTTATAATTAAGCATCTCCAGTTATGGACGAAGACTGACCTAATATTGCACGAATTCAGGCATTAACTGATTACCTAAAGCCAGTATTAATTTTCATAAATCACTAGGAAAGCAATGCTTATTTACCAAATACATTATTCCAGATGTGTATTTAAATAATTATAATTAAAAGGAACCTAGTGCCTGAAAGTTACAGACAAACCTTTGCAATTTGTGTGTAAGCAGGTGGTTCTTCTGTTGGTTTCATTATTGCTGGCTGAGTACTGGGTACATTAGGCATTTTCACATTTCCTGGAGGAGGCTAAGAAAACAAGAGACAATTATAGGAAAACAGTTTCCTATTTTAATAAACAACTTTTCATTAACTTGGTAAGAACCAATCTAGTTGTTTTATAGGAAGTGTTACTGATAAACTGAAAATCTGATATGCTGCCCTGCCTGCAATATTTATAACCTTTAGGAAAAAGAAGTTAATTTTATGCTGTGGTGCAGCGTTCTGCTTATTTGGTTTTACACTGCATTACTTGCCATAAATACACACGGAATTTTAGGTATCAGTAGAAAGTAAATAGAATTTTAATTTTGTTTAGACATGAATATGGATAGGAACAGTTACTGTTTAAGAGAATTGCAGGATTTAACAGTGATCTATTCATATTCTGAAACACGATGCCATTTATTACTAATGTCTTCCAGAGCTTTCTACTCAACAAAGGCTTGTATCACCTGGCTAACTAGAGAAGTAATGTACCATATTAAATTTTCCAATTCAAGATCCATCATCTTTTACTTAACTATTCCACCAGTATGCACTGTAGTATCTAGTTTCAAGTACCACTGGCAATTCATTTACTTGGTCACTACCTATAAGAATACAGCTTACAATAAGCTTTTAGTAGCTGAGTTTTTTTGGTTGTTTCCTTTTTTTTTTTTTTTTTTAACTCCTCTTCTCCTTATTCCCATTTGTCATATTCTCTGACTTTCTCCACATCTGTCTATCATACACGATGTTAACCAGTAGCTATCAAACCAAGGAAAAAACTACTGCCTAGATTGAACTTATCAACTGAACTTTACCAAAGCAGATCAGTATAGCACTACTATGATGTTACTTTAAATATGCTTTGGGGGGAAACTATAATTCCTTCTTTGCGTGGAACTCACAACATGAAAGACTTCCCTGTTCTGTGATCTTGTAAGACAGAGAACCACATGTTCCCAGTAAGACTGAAATCAAGAACAATAACCGTAAGTGTGATGTCTTCAATCAAAAGCACCTTAAAACAAAGCAAGAATCAACTAAATACCACTAACTTAGCAATTTATGACTTGGTCCAGATTACCTGCATCTTTTCTAACCAACTTTTGAAATGCACAACTGCAATACACTGAGGAGAAAATATCATGCCCAAGTAAACTCCACCTCTGTGTGTGATACTGCAGCATATCTCAGCAATATCAGCTGATTCCAGCATTTCAAAACTATCTTTCCATCTTCCAGAATTCTGAGATATCAGAGAGGTGTAATTTCTCAGAAATGTTTGGTGATTTAAGGTCTTCATCCTAAAAAAGACTACTCAGTGCTGCAGGATGAAGACAACGGAAAGCTGAGGGCTGGGTCTTGCACTTCAGTCACAACAACCCCATGCAACGCTACAGGCTTGGGGAAGAGCAGCTGGAAAGTTGCCCAGCGGAAAAGAACCTGGGGGTGTTGGTTGACAGCCAGCAGAGTATGAGCCAGCAGTGTGCCCAGGTGGCCAAGAAGGCCAATGGCATCCTGGCCTGTATCAGAAACAGTGTTGCCAGTAGGACTAGGGAAGTGATTGTCCGCCTGTACTCGACACCAACAGTTGCAGATCCCTCAGATATGAGCAAGAGGCCCTCAGCCTGCCTGACACACCTGCCTGGATCTACAGCTCTCTTACCTGGAATATGGGTTTCCTCCTGTTTGCCAGTTAGCCTAGCTTGATGTTCGTACACTAGAAGATTCATGCACTTGCACACTCATGTCACAAGCAACCTCCACACTCACAGCTCCCTCAAACACCAGCATGGGCTCTCACAGCTTGCCATATATCCAAGCCCAGACCCCACACCCCCTTACTCAATTTTGTCTCAGACTTTGAGTCTTCCCAGAGAGAGGTTTTCCTCCTATTTGCCAGCTAGTCTAGCTTGAAGTTTGCTCATGAATTATACATACACACTTAGAGGAAAACACACTGGTCGCTCCAGTGCCTGGCACCTCAAACATGTGGGCCCTATGACCCACAGTCCCTCCAGCTGCTGACACCCAGATGCTCAGTTGTAGGCCCCACAGACTTATGGACCACTACTACTTGGCATCTGACCATGTTGCTGACACCTAAGTCTCTCATTCTAGTCTCTCCAATTGCTGGCACCTGGACTTTGCAGCACTCACAGCCACAGCAGAGTGAAATGTCACAGAAAGATAGTTAAGAAAGGATTTAACAGTAACTGCGGTGATCAGGCGCATGGCTGTCAGACAAGTGTACTGACTGGTAGCAACTTACATGCAACCAGCCCCTTTTAATCCATCCTCCTCTCTAGTCTCCTCCTTGCTCCTCCCCAGTCTCCAATTGCTCCACATCTTTGACTATTCCCCTAAATATTCCTTAATGAATTTTGCATAGTCCCACAGGCTCCCCTCAACTATCTATAATACTCATGCTTATCTTGTTTCTTCCTTCTTATCAGTTAAAAAGTCCAGGTTGACCCTTTTCAATGCCCATAAATCAACGGCTGAAGAGTTTTAGTCTTCTGTTTTATCTCTGTTATCACTTATCTATCTATCAGGTTTGTGTTTCTGCCTTTGTTTATTGCTTTCCCTTCTACTTACTACTCCCTTTAAACTGAAAGAAGTCTATAACGTTAATGAAACAGATGCTCTCACGTTCTACATATCCTTACAGTAATCATTGTGACTGACTTGATTATTTGGACCATCACAGAGGTTTGCAGCTGAAAGGCTACCATGACTTTTACAAGGATGGCACATGATTAAGAATCATGTATATCTTTGGATACTCTGTAATAATATGACTGGGATTATGATCGTCCTTCAGGCCTCAGCCCCTCAAAAACCATATAGCCATATCACTGTAGTAACATGAAGGAGCACACTCCAGGCTTATTATTCCAAGCACTGCAGTGCAAGGCAACAGCTGCCCCAAGTCCCATGTTGTTAATCTGTGTGCTACAGTCCATTACTTAACACAGGAATGACACAGCAGTGAAGGCAACTTCCACGTCTATTCAAATGTTAAAGGCCCTATCTGTGTAGAGGCCTGCTAAAAAACAAAAAATCCCACCCAACCAAAAAACTTATTAGTAGACTTTTCCCTGTCCCTACTTGCCCAGTAAAGACCTTGTACCTTCTGGTCTCTTAATTTCTTCAATCCTTTTAAATGCTTTTTCTGTGGTGAGTGTGACAGCTGTCACTTTTCCTTCCTCTGGTATGTCACCTGAGGTACATTCCAGTTCATGCTTTAGCAATTTTCCATCTTAGTTTTCTTAACACTCAGCTGACTACCTATTCCTGGCAAGTTATCACTTCTCTAAAGCCTATTCTATTGAGAATTCAAGTTTAAGACACCTCCCCTGTAAAGAAACAATTAATTTAGCTTTTTCCTAAATCATTATCTTCTATTAGTACTCTTACAACCTTGAAGATGGCAGAAGCTTCCTGCTTCCAGGAAAGAAAATTCCCCGTTGTTCTACAAGTTTTTCCTCAGAGCTTTGATCTTGCCTTGCAGTTTCACACTTGGCTTGGCAGAGCTTAAGCTGTAAAGGTTTCTTCAAAAATAGCTTCCACTTTTCTCAAGGCTGACTTACCCCAGTAGCATCTTTGACACAGCAGCAAAATGCCAGCATGGTTAGTCTCTTCTTACAGTGCATCTAGAGCAGCTGTTCATAAGCTACAGTAAGTATGGCTACACCATTCATTAGTGATATTTTGTGTTTAATATCATACATGAGGTATTTAATATCACTTCATGGAATTAGTGCATGGTGTTAGAAAAAGTAGAGAGAAGAGTTTGTAAGAGCATCGGAGGTAGTAAGGAAAGATAAGGGGGGAAAAAAAAAAATCAGTATCTGCTTCAACATCCGCTGTTAATTTTTGCTGGGTATCAATCCAGAATTTCTGCTAGATTGATATATGTATTAAGAATAGACTAAAAGTAAAAGTTGCATTCCAGCCATCACATTCACAGGATATAGCCAGTTGCTGAAATATAGTAGCATTTCTTCATTAAGTACAGGAAAAGCCATGCATATTTTTGTATACTACTGTGTTTTCATACTTATCTTGGCTTCATAATACGTGCACAGGGGAACAAAGTGTCAGTGCTCAACCTCAAATGGTGGGAGTTCAATATAGATTTAGTGTGGGGTTTTTTTCTAGGTTATTATTCAAAGATCACAATTCAATGCACAACAGGGACAGGTATTTATAAATAATCTTCTATAGATCAAGAACCTAATAAAGAAAGCATTGTAATCATAGAATATCTCAAGTTGGAAGGGATCCATAAGGATCATCGAGTCCAACTCCCTGCTCCTCACAGGACTACCTACAACTAAACCATATGACTAAGAGCATCGTCCAGAACTGTGGACTCTGACAGGCTTGGTTCTGTGACCACTTCCTTGGGGAGCCTGTCCCAGTGACCGACCACCCTCTCAGGGAAGAACCTTCTCCTAACGTCCCATCTGAACTTCCCCTGACGCAGCTTCATTCCATCTCTCGTGTCCTGTTGCTGGTCACCAGAGAGAGGAGATCAGCACCTCCCCCTCCGCTGCCCCCCATAAGGAAGCTGTAGGCTGTGATGAGGTCACCCCTCAGCCTTCTCTCTCCAGGCTGAGCAAAACAAGTGACCTCAGCCGTTCCTCGTGTGTCTTGTCCTCGAGACCTTCCACCACCTTGGTCGCCCTCCTCCAGACACACTCTAACAGTCTGATGTCCTTCTCCTATCGAGGCACCCAAAACTGCACACAGTACCCCAGTACCCAAGGTGGGGCCGCACCTGTGCAGCGTCTAGCGGGACAATCCCATCCCCCCGTGTCGTGTCCGTTGTGTCCCGTCCCGCCCCCCAGAGCACCCAGCTGTGCTGTACTTGGGGCATCCCAGGGCACGTCGGCCCTTTTGGCTGCCAGGGCACACTGTTCATTCATATCCAACTTGCCAGCCACCCAAACCCCCAGATCTCTTTCTGCGGGGTGACTCTCCAGCCTCTCATCCCACAATTTGGACAAATAACCAGGATTACCCCATCCCAGGTG